TATTTTATACGCAATGTTTAACTTTATTGGATTTCTTTTCTCACTTTTAAAAGGAATCTACAACACATGTGCTATACACACACAAGTCAATCGACAAGCAAGTGTAGCACGCATACTCTTTGCAGGATTTTTTGGAATCTTTTCTACATCTATAAACAAAATTCTTTTAGACGCACAAATAAAAGAATATAACACAAAAAATGCAACACGACAAAATACATACGACGAAGAACATAACAATGTAGACATAACGCCAACGGCACCACAATTACCACCCCTACCAAATAACCATCCACTATCCCTAGTCCCACGAAATTTTCGAAATTTAGCCATCACACATAATCCAAATTTTCGACTCACCACATCACAAAGTCCCATCCAACATATAATGACACACCAGTCACAAGATGATAATACTTATGAACAAATTATTGAACAACCCCATACCACCGCTTTTCAGTCTCAGAATAATCATTTTTTTAGCCCACGATGAGCCGCCAACTTGGATCACTACACCGATCAAATTCCCACCCAACCAATCTTACCTCTCCAATCCCAATAATACCACTTTTTGCTTTTCCGCCACCCGACTTTCCATCTAGTAATGTAACATCAGGCATGAATTCCGACACTAATTCACACATCTCAGTTTTATATTCCATCTCACAACTCAATAACCCGAATATTGAAACCCCCGATGAATTTGCCGACTCAGAACCACCCCCATCCAATAATTTTCATAACTCTTCTAATTTTTCTCAACCCCCTTTTCAACCCATATTATCCAATAACCCTGACCCCATCACTCCCACACCCTCTTATGCTTCCCAAGTTACCCCAACCTACTCCTCATACCATTCTGACCAATCATCTCATTCTCCAGACACCCCCCGAATCTCCCCAGAGCTAGATAATTTTATTACCCTTCAACAACAACCCTACCACCTTAATACCCCAACCATAAACCAAATTTCCTCCACAATAAATTCATCCAACCCCCCCACCCCTACACCCTCTTCAAATTATACTGAATCATTAGCACCATCATCCACATCAACTGAATCTTCACTCAACACTAATGGAGCTTACCGCACTTTTAAAAGAAAGTTCCCCAACCATCCTTTCCCAGCAAAACCAGGAACAGCCCGTGAATACATCAACCACCCCAAGCATACTAACACAAAAGAATTTTTAGCCATCACCTTACCCTCATTCCCACAATACACCTTAAACACCCCCCACGACACTAACGAAACACGCAACTTTGTAGATGAATACGTTTTAATGCCCACTCTCTCTTGGACCTCATATTATCATTTTACTAACCCTCTTTGCTTACCTTTATCTAACACTCACATCGATATAGAGCGAAATACGGACATGCTATATCGACTCACTACACCACTAACCGCTAGACAATTTACTTACGTTGGATATAAAAAATCACTAAAAACACACACTGCACCTAGAGCTAACGAATATACACTCGAATACTATGATCACAACATCATCAGAGCTAACCAAGATCAATTCTTAGACGACGATCGCTTCGCTAATCCACAAATCACCGAGAAATTTTTCATTAAAACACCATATGTATTTACACTAAATATCTTCGATCGAAAGTTTGATCACATTATTTCAGAAGCACTAACAGACACACAAGCATACGAAAGTTTTAAAGAACGCTTCCAAATATTTTCACTAACCTTTCATTTCCTTGCACCACACGAAAGAGATTTACACTGCTCACACGATATTATGTTGCGCACTAAACAAACCCACACATATAGTTATTATCGCTTCATCCAAAATCACTTTGACCTACACACACCCTCTAGACAACCACACCATCGCTTTCAATTCATAAATTCCAAATACACTTCACCATTTTTCCTAAATTTCACATATTGCATTAAAGATACTAACCTTCATGGTATTCTTCGTAATTATGACCCCATAACCCAAATGTACATCTTCTGTCCCATCACCAAGACCTTCAACGCCGAAGAATCCCGACCCTTCCTTATCCCACACGAGTTCCTACAACCTATAGAAATCCCAATTTTAGAATTCATCCACAACACTAAATTCAATCACAAATTATATAATCTAATCCAAAACACACCTTATGAGTTTGCAGTTGGTACTGAAGAACTAACCACTATTAAGGCACTTCAATTGCTTTGGCCACTGCTTCAGACTAAAAATATCATCCGCATCTTAGCTAAACTACTAACAACTTCAGAACTAATTCACGACATCTTCCCCCACGGTTTTTTCCCCGACGACTAACAGGTAAGTATGAATTAAATGAATATAACTAACTAATTGAAATATTAAAAACTCACCATACTTTATTCATGTTTTCTTTAGATTTTTAGCCTTCATCCGACGATCACCTACAAAAACCACAAAAGACAAATAAAAACCGCAAATTTCATCAAACAGATTTCAAAAATTCTATTAATCTCTTACACTTATAAATTTATAAATTTAATACCAATGCAGTAAATTCATTTCTAAAATTTTCCCCACAAGCAGTAAATCTAATTATAATGAAAATTTGCAACTTAAAATTCCCCCATAACTAGCAGTAAATTTCTAAATTCTATGCAGTAAATTAATAAAATGCAAATGCAGTACTAACCTTTTGATATTTTCATTCATTCGCACAGAAATTCTATCCACACTCGCACAGCTCGCCCACGAAGAATTGTTTAAAATAATGAATTTCAGTTTCAAGTTTTCACACTCAACAACTCTAACATATAATAACATGTTTCAAACTTTCCTTTAACCCGGTTGGAAAGGAATCATATACTAAACAAAACTAACCAACGCAGCTTACTAAATACCACAAATCATAGAATAACAGCATGACTAAGAAAAGGAAACCAACGGTACCCAAACCGGATTAACCCAGTTTAAAACTGGATAATTTATTCTTTTGAAGACTATTATAAAGTCTAAGAAAGAAATAATAAAACACAAAAAAGTCGAAAGACAAACCCATACCACAAACAATTTGATTTTTGAAAAAAGGACACAACCAACAAAACATAAGAAAAACCACAACAAACCCAACATAAAACGTTGTCACATAACAGGACCCCTCACAAAAACCGCATGAAATCATACTCCCACTCCTGGCCTAACCCACCAGGAAGGACGTCCTGAGCATGCTCTATAGCCGGCCTAACCCACCGCGCTACATCCACGCTTTGTGACCACACCTCTATTTTTAATAAGAGCTACTCAAGTGTGAGTAACTCTTCAAAATAACCGAACTAAAACAAAAAGCTTCTGTGAAAACAACTAACTAAAATCATTATTAAAAAATATTAAACTAATAAAAGTTTTATAAAATGTAAAATCACATGATGCAATACATAGATCAGAATACAACACCAAGGACGAACATCAAAAGACAAAACGACCCCACCACACTCGAGAGAGAATGACCAACTACAATCAATATGCCGCTCACAATCACAACTCAAAGGATTTAGAGTACGACTTGACCTCGCAGAAAAGGACTTCATTGAACTAGACCAATGACCACCTCGATGACCCAAGTGTACGTACAGATCCGAGTAACCAGGCATCCCCTCCACGCACAATCTCCACGCCATTCCCAAGCTAGATCAGACACAAAAGAAGTTCTCCCCGAAGAACAGAAAAACCTGACATAGCCAACCATTCTGAAATCAGAATTGATTTTGTTGCAGAGACTCAGTCGTTGTCACAAGAAGAACACAACGTCTTATGTCCCTAACTCCAGCTTCCTGAAACTTCTTTAACAAAGAAGAAGCGGAAGAAAATTATGATGTTCACCAAATACCAACGTCCATCATCCATCCTTGAATTACAGAAGAACTGTTCTAAAAAACTCTGTAAAACCCGGATGGGTGGAACCTGATCTAAACTATATTTTATGATTGGATAAATTAAATGTTTTACCAATGTAAAGTATTTAATATTAACCAATCACGATCCATCTAACTAACAACCCACTTATTTGTAAGTGCTGAAGTTACTTGTAATTTCAGCACCAGAGAGATTTGAATTTAACTTAGAAATTAGTTGGACTCTCCCGAGCACTTCAGCAGCCGCAATAAACCAGTATACCCTAGATCTATTGAGCCTAGCAGAGACTAGTTAAACAACCTGAGACTAGATAGTATAAGAGTAAGATTAGGATCGGTATTAGACTAAGAAGTTGCACGAATCTATCCGGCCGAAAATAAGATAGCGTGACGAGCAGACGGTGTACCCTATCCGAAATTACTCTATGAGTTATACCCATCGGTCATAACTCAATAGCGTTTTTTTGGCGCGCGTTCCTCCTTCAAAATTAGTATACATAGGCGCCCAAAGCGCCTTATAAAAAATTTTAGGGCCCGTCAGCCAAAAATAGACATCTCAAAATAGTACAAAAGGACCCTTAAGGTCGGCAGGGGATCGAATCATTGAAGGGGAGGACGTCCCTTTACCCCTTCTAAATCTGCTACTGACTGGAACTAAAATGAATTTTACATCATTCAATTCTTTTTTTTTTTAATTTGAAGAGCCTAAAAGCTCATGAAAACCAATCTCATAAAGAGACGATCCAACGGTGTCAAAAAATGTTTGAGTGACAAAAGTTGTGTCAAAAACACCTTTAAGTTTCTTTTTGTTTTTAAAAGATTGGTAACAAAAAATTATGCTTAAATTAGTTTCGTTACAAAACATTTTGTGGTTGTTCTTGAACTTAAATCTTTTAAAAAAGAGCTCGGAGAATTGGTCGACCTTAAAAAAAATTTTGAACCAGAAATGATAAGCTGTCGGCACTATTCATCCACGAACGAAAGTACAAGCATCGAAGTTTTTCGGCTCAGTTTTTGAGAACCCCGGTTAGTGTCTCATTTGTTTTAAAAAATTTCAAAAAATGTGTGTTCAGGCTTTGTGTGAGTGTGTAACGGGGGTTGAGAGTGCCGTCGGTGAGGCGAGTTGGGGGGACTATGTTGCGGTCGGGCAGTTGACGCTGGAGGCGGAGGCGTGTGAAGCGGAGTTCACTGGATTGGCCAGTGACACCACACATAGAGTCACTTTACAGCTACGCGTGAGTCATACGGGTGATCATGTAAGGTCACAAATATGCATGACATCATCAACAATTAATCAGGCTTTTCCGCATTGCCAAGTTTTGCTAGTAATTTTACGCGTGCTTCGCAATATCCAAATATATTACAAACCGACTAATCTTAGGTTATTCTAAACAGATTTTGTTTTCATAAAGACCTGAGAGAGAAAGGGGGGTGGAAAAAAAGACTAAACTCAGACGCTCGTTTGCTCAAAACAAAGACAAAAGACAAAAACGCTTCTACGAAATTTTCATAATCATTAACGAAATTTTCAAAAAAAAAATTGAAGTTACCAATTTTTCAAGTTTAAGAACAAATGAAAACCTGCCGCTAAATATAAACTTTGATACATTCTAGGCACTTGGTATCGATGAGCCCCTTGAAAGCGAGCCGATAGAGACCAAACCCTCCCTGCTGCCCGACGCTCCCCTGATTAGTGTAGCTATTCGCAATGCAGACGAACGACGACAATTAGACGAGCAAGCTTGTGCTCTTTTCAACAAACGAGACAAGTTTCTCCGAATGATTCACTTCGTGCAAAAAATGGCCTTAAATGGAAAATTTCTCACCTCCAAGTCGGAAGAAGTCGAGTTGATTCGTCTCGGCTCTACACTAGCCGAAGTGGACTCGCAGTTGTCGGAAACTGTGGCGAAAGTGGCACGACTCACAGGCCGAGTGGAAGTAATGCTCTCGTGGCAGGGTGGCTCCGACACTCAAGATTTCTCGCCGAGAACCAAGAACCGAAAGCCGAGTTGTCTGCCAGTCCTCGGTGAAGCAAAAACAGAACAGAGAATGGAAGTGACTGGCTACAAAGTGTTCTTAAATGGCCGCCAGTATGGACTAACTGTGAACTCCGACGTAAAGAATATGGTGCTCAGGGTGAGTTAGTTTTTATAACTAGTTCATTTTTTTCTTATTCAATCTAGAATAGCTTCTGATTAAATTTAGTTGTTTTTACAATAATCTGACAACAGAGAACCCCGCTTTATTTGTTGATTACGCTTTGTTTAATCTTCGTCGACTTCGAATGCTGATAGTGAACTTGTAAAAGTTGTGACAAAAAGTGGGCGAGCTGATTTAACAATGACTGGTCGGAGGAAAGGGAAGACAGTTTAGATAAGGAACGTAAAAATAAATTAGCCAGAAGCTATTTTTATGCCAAAATGGGTTTTAGAATGCCATTAACCTTAACGACAGTTGGAAATGTACTCGCGTCAATTTGACCCATAATTTAATGCGTATAATGTAGAGTTATAGTTATAACCAGACACTTATAACTGAAAAGGCTTTAGAGTGATAAAATTTGAAGTCTTTTGTCTGAAAATTGCAATACATGACCCGGAAACCATCGAACAGGCACAAGTTCTTACTTTTGGAAATAACAATGACACCGAATAAGTGAGTCTTGATTGTTATGAAAGAAAGCCCTCGAACAATTCATTATCTCAATTCTATGTCATATTTTCTAATCTGAAGTGCGTCGAAGACTGTTGAATAATGAGATGGTTCAAATTCTGATAAAACGAAAGGTCAAACCAGTTTCTTACTTCAATCTGTCTTAATTTTAATCCTAAACTCAAGAAATGATCAGACTTTGAAGGCAGCATAGCAGTGAATGAAAATGGGTCGATCTCGATGCATAATATTATGCGAATATATGTTATCTTTGGAGCAACCTCCTTGAATCATGCAAACGCATGCAAAAAGGGCAATAATCCTAAAAGTGTGGTATTTGAGGGCAAATGGAGCCTAGAATTTGAAAATAATATGAAAAAAGTCAAACACATCAAAAAAAAATTATACATAATTTGAAAATGTCGCCGAACGGCAAAAAAAAATCGTGTGAGAGTTTTTCTTAAGATGTTGTCATGATAAAAAGCAGAATAATGAAGAAGCTGAATTTAAATTGAAGGCGAAAAGATTTCATTATTTTTAAAAACAGTTTAGATAAGATTGCGTTCAACTTGGGAAAAATGGGATCGTCAACCGGAAAAACAAGACAATTCAATTAAATTTTTAAAGAGTTGCTTTTGAAATCATCTCTGTAGTGAAAACATAAGTGACTGATAATTTCCTACTTTTCGTACTAAAATTCCGGTTCAAAGGAACTAGGACTGCTTCAGCAAAAAAACATCAATCATAGAATCAGTTATTGAATGTCAGTAACATCAGCAGTCGGGAAATTAAAATTACGCTATTTAGTTCAATTGGTATGGTTCCTTTTTATCGTTGTAGGACAAAAGTTATGGAAATATCTACTTCCTCTCTTTCCTACTACAAAGCAATGGAATGCCTCAATTGCCTGATGTCAACAAACTTTCACCTGATGAAGTTGAAACATTTTCAGATAACCAATTTTCAAAGTTTTTTCACTTTTCCAGAACAATTATTTTTCAGATTTTGTTCAGCTGGTCGACATGTTTTTTTGATTTGTATTAGATCACTTTTTGTCGTTACTTAATTGCGTTAGTGTCTCCAGAGAATAAGTATTTTATTGAGGCTGAATAACCTTTTCTAGCTGTAGCAATCATGATGTAGTCATTGCTTTTGCTGTAATGTGTTTTCTATACTGCCTCAAACGAATTGAAATAAATGACTACTCTTTGGATTAAACCGGGACTAATAAAAGGAATTTTTAGGTTTTCAAGTTAGTTCAAGTGAAGCAGGACTCCTTGTGTTTTGGTGAAGCCCTGATACCTCAACTGGTTTTTAAAATTTGAAATTTCGAAAAACAATTTGCAAATTTTTTCCCTATGCTAAAAAGCAAGTGATCTTATTACTTCTTTGAGGTCTTTTGCGTCTGTTTATTTGTCTCTTTTATTTTTTAACGAGTTCGTAGTACTCAACGGGTTTTGTAAGCGCTACGTTTGAGCGGATTCATTAAAAACAGCTGTAAGTGTACATTACGTCGCCACTTCTATGTTATATCATTTGAATTCGGAATCCATGTACACTAATAGTCAAATCTGACTATTGAAATAACACGGATTGGCGACGTAATGTACTCTTAGTAATCATTACATTACTATATAAGCGCCAAATTAAAGTTTTTGAACATTTAATTGTCTTTTACACTTGAAAAGAGACCTAAAATAAATTGTAATAAATTAAGAACGACTTAGATCATGAATATAGATTTTATTAAATGTGGCCAAAGTGCGAAATCGGCTGATAGTGGAATCTGCGGGGGAAAAAATATTTTCAAGGAACCCATTATCAAGCTGTTTTTCTTTGACTGTTTTTAGCGAAAAACCAGAAGACAGAAAATGAAGTGTTTCGAGGAATCGAAAACATATAATAATGTATAAGTGAATGTTTATTTTACACATTCAGAGGCTTATCTCTGGGTTCCAGTAATATACACGCACAACTCTGCCCTTTAAAAATATACACAGCTTAGAAGAATACAAAGTTTTAAGCGAAACTTGTGAACCAGGTTTTTAGTCTAAGATTTGAAATCAAAATTTTGAAAACTTTCAAGATAATGAAAAAACCTTCAGAACTTTTTCAAAATGTTCGAGCTTGGACGGAAAGGCGTTCGATTGATTATATCATTTAACGTATTCCGATAATAGTTCTTAGTACCCAAGTTAGCCTGCAAACAATGATGAAAAGTAAATCAAACCCGAAGAAAAATGGCAAAGGAACAAAAACTATTCCTGCTTTACTTTTTTTTGCACAAAGCAAAATGGCTCCGATATAATTTGATGCATGGTGTTCCTCTGTTTAAAAAAAATGAAAAAAAATCTTCGAATGATTTTATCAAAAAGCAATCTAGCAAAGTCAAGGAAAAAAGCTAATGAATTTTTTCGGCTGACTTCAAACAGATTGGAAATTGTTTCAGCCTTACAGCCGCTTTAAATTTTCTTGAAAAATTTCTGATCTCTATGAATAGAGACATTAAAAACCGATGAAATCTTTTTTTAACTCATCAAATTCTGATCAAAAACTTGGCAAAAATAAAGAGTGACCCGTGAAATAATCGGGTGCTTTGTCCCGATACAAGCAAAATTGTTAATTAATTTCTTTTTTTTCATAGGATATTTTTTGAGAAGTATAAAGGACGATTGATTGTATCTTCATGGCGCACTTGCTTTCATTCATAAATTTTTTCACAGAATAATCTTTTTTGTTCCCTTTTTCGAAGAAAGTGCGGAGAATATATGCTCGGGTTGGTTTTTGTTGTTCAGACCGATTTTAGTAAATTTCACTTCTCTTGGGAATCGAACCGGAAATCTTTGGATATCTAAGCGCGTATGCTTGCACTACACTAAAGTGCGGCTTGGCTGGTCAAATAATATTTTGATATTTTCTTTTAATACGCAAACTATTTATGCGTGGTAATTAATACGCACTTCTAATTGGTCCAAATTTAATTGAGGCAAGCTAATTGGTCCCAGTAATTCTATGAATGACTCAAATCTTAACACTTTGATGTTATCAGCCTAAAATTCTTAGTTTTTGAATATTTCATATACCAAAAACTCTTCGAGATTAATAATGATCAGTCAGAACATTCAGGGATTTGCCCTGATACGAGCAGTCTTGTTTTGTTAGAAAGTCGAAAATGAATAATTACCCTCGAAAATAGGAATTCAGTAGATGAAATTTTAAGCGAAATTCAGAAGTCAAAAAGAAGCTTCCGGGATTGTAGTGCCTTTCATATCGCAGAGGAGCTACCAGTATGACTTGACTAGGATTTTCCGTTTGCATGTTTTCTTTACAATACAGATAGTAATTCTAAGAATGTAGGGCGACAATTCGTAACAAAGTACTGGTAAGTAGGATACGATTGCTCCGCTGCGCTTACATCCGGTAGGTTGTGAACACGAGAGGAATCAGTGTTTCCCTGCGTGTGAATCACTGCATGTGAATTAGTATTCCTCGCTTAATCCACTGTTACGAATGGTCACCTAATACGAAATATCGCCTGTTACGAATTGTCGCCACACGTAATTCTAATGAGTGAAGCTCTTTTTTACCGCTTGGAACAGTTTTTAGAATAGTTTTTTTGTTCTCAGATGAACGTGGAAAAACAGCTGCACAAGATCAGTCTAATGGCTCTGTCTGCTTTCTCTTCTGATGGGGGAGGGGGGACACAATCCCAAAAGCACAGACATACCCCCTCCTCTCCATCTCAGCCCGGCGACCATTCCCGCTCATCTCCTTCGCGGAGCGTGAAACAAGAGCGTAGTGGGAGTGCAGAGGGTGAAAGGGGCGCGGAGTCTAATATTGTGCTGGTGCCGACGGATACTTTCAAACCCCTTAGTCTGTTCTGCTTCATGAAAGCCCACTCCAAAAACACAAGGTAACACCAGGAATAACATTAGCCAATTTTGAAGCTCGTGAGTTTCAATTAAATGTGATTTTTGAGAGTAATTTTTTGGTAATTTAATTAAACTATACAAGTCCATCGACGATAGCCGAGATATCAATTTTGAGCTTTTTTTGATATGAATGAAAGCGTTTTCACAATATCCACGTTTTTTTTCGAAAAAGTATTTGCTCTCATTAGCGTAATGGGAGCATTCTGTTTGGCTTGTAATCTTTTTTAATTTGTTGTTCAGATGGCCACAGACTGGCTGTTGTGTGCTGACTGACTCCCTGCCCTATGAGAGACACCAGCTGCCAGTCCAAATGGGGGGATTAGGAGGGGGTCATTACAGGGGGGCAGATGGCACTGCTCACAGCTGGAGTGGGGGCGCAGCCACGTCGGGTAAGTGAACTCAGAGCAGATGGCTTATCTGCAAAACTCATAGCCGAGATATCAATTTTGAGTTTTTTTGATATGAATAAAAGCGTTTTCACAATATCCACAAACTTGAAAAAGGACGGAAGATTAACCATGTGAATCCTGGTGTTTTTGTTTTCAAGTGAAATCAACAACTTCAACGAAACTCTCAAGCAAAAAATAATATTTCTTTTCCTATGCATTCAGGGGACGGTTAATAATTTAAAAAGTTATGTTTATCATTGCGGATGATGTCCAATGTCTCTAAAAAGATATGGGAGAGTTTCTTCATGAGATTGGCCATTTTTTTGTCTGTTTTTCCTAAAATATGAAAACGACAACGACCCTATTTTGCAAAGAACTTTTCCACTACAAATCATTCGCTTTTAGATCTTGAGTCTTTTAGATCTTGTTAAACTGTTCAGAAAAATGGGGACATGACTTGCGTCAACGAAATCAACAGTTGCGTGAAAAAAATAATTATCAAAATCAACAAATTCCGTTACGAAAGCTTCTCATTTTAGCCGCACAATGCATGAGCATTTGAGACCCCGTACCCAAAAAATTCTTTAGTTCTGACAAGAAATTCTTAAATTCACCGATTGAAGAAAGACACCGATTGAGTCCTTGTCAGGGATTCGACCCCCTGCCGACCCAAAGGGTCCCCCTTTGTACTACTTTGAAGTATTCATTTTTGGTGACGGACCCTGAAAACTTTCTAAAGGCGACTTTCTAAAGGCGCCAATGTATACTAATTTTGAGGGGGGAGTGCGCGCCGAAAAAAAAACGCGATTTTTGGTCAACAATTTTCAAAAAATGCTTAAAAACGCTTTTTTAGCCTGTTTTTTAAAAGTTTTGCCTGCGGCGCAGAAAATTTGGCCAAACCAGGGTCTTTATAGTATTTTGGGAGAGCTCAAAAAAAAGGTCGTCAAAGTTTTCAAAATTTTTTCAAAATCCGCCACCCCCTCCCTTTCGAGAAAATCCTAGATCCGCCCCTGAATATTTTAATTGCTAACTTATGCCAAATCAGAGCAAATTTCCCCTACCTAGTAAATGTCTAATTGAGATCTGAACTTGGCTGTGAAATACTAAATTAATACTTGGATACTTTAAGAAAGGGTTATTTCAGATCAAACTTCAGGTCTGAGTTTTTTTTTCTTGTTTATTTCAGATCTGATAAATCTATTGCAGATCTAATTTTAGATCTGATTATTTTCTTTTTCATGGTTTATTTTTATGTGAAAAAATAAAATTTATGAGTTGAATTTTTGCATTTTAAGGTAGTTTTGTACTTCACAGCTTCTACTAGCTACTAGGAAGTACTCAGCAAAATCCCTAATTGGAGACTGCCGAAATGTGTTTCCCAAAAAACGAGATAAAGACAGGAGATGTATCAATTGTGCATGAAGTTCCAAAGTTTTTTTTCGAAAACTTTATAAAACAGTAGAAAAAGAAGTTAAGTTTGAAAAAAAAGTATATTTGATTTTCGGAAGTTTTTTTACCGCTAACTAACCTAAATATAATTGCGTTTTGCAAAAACAACAAAAGAAGAAGCTCTATTTTTCGCTCAAATTGTATGCATATATTATATATTAATGAAAGCATTGTCAGATCTAATGTCACATCTGAAATTTTTTATTTCAGATCTGACGTTTTTAACTTTTAATCAAAGATCTGAAATAACAAATTTCAGATCTGAGAATCAACTATCTGAGAAATAAAAATTTTTAGATCCTTTTTGCTTGATGCAAGAAGCTTGATGAACAATCACTCAAACATTTATCAACAATCATTCAATATGCATCGACATTCAATCCCTCCGTTAAATTTGAAAACAAAACTGAGAAATTGAAATTAACTTAAACTTTTTTAAAATACACAAAAAAAACTTTTCAGAAATTGAGTTCTTTTCATAGCGTGTTGCGGGATCCGCGGTACACTTTCAATGCCGACGATTTTCATGTTACCAGCATAAGTGATTGAATCCACAATTATTGTGGCCAGCAAAATCCACAAATTGTACTTAACATAATTGATGGCTTGTCTCCGGATTCTAGTAGCCTTGTTCTAATTGCACTCTCCAAATGCGAACGTGGAAATGGCGCGAAAAAACGTGAACGATTTCTAGTTTCGAAAGTGGTATCTATTTTTAAGATTTCCCAGCGGAATAAAAACTTTACCTTTTGATCCAGTTTTCTCAAGTTGAGATTTTTTCAAGTGTTTTTTCTTATGTTTACTTGCGTTGATTACTCTTTTCCAATCTGCGATTGGCTATGTTTCTATTCTTGAATTTGCCTAAAAGCTCTGTCAAGGTCATTGGTCAAACTCATCGGATGAGGTCATCGATAAACAAACAATTTCACATTCTACAGGTAGACTGATCTCGCCCGGCTGTCTGAGGAAGGTGACGCCCTGTCCCTCGGTGGATGTGTTCAACATCCTCACCAGACACTGGCAGCCCCTCTTCCCCATCAACAGCACTACTTCCAACAACCCCACCACCCCTACACCTACCCAAACATACACTGTCCTATTGTTCTGGACATCCTGGTTAGTAGGCAACAGCCCACTGAATACAAAGTACAAAGTATGTGTACTTTGAGTACAATCAAAATATTTGTTACTGCGCGACAAAAAATACTCGTAAAAAAAGACATTTTACAAAATTCAAGGAAAGCGACAACTCTCAAGACTTGAAAGTTCAGTTTAAACGAGGCATTGGAAACTAGCGACCGCTTAGACAAGCTGCTCTTACATCGGCACGAGTGGAATTGTGGGCGTGACTTATTACTTTTTGCTGGTGTAATTTTTTTCGCTAGTTGTCGTATCCTTAAAGTAAAGGAGTTTTCAATGTTTGTTAGTTGTCAGTTATTCCGATTTTTCGTATTGTCAAAACTAATTTTTCTTGGCGACATAATACTATGATGACTATAAAGAAAGGAGCTGCATTTTTTTTGACGAGAAATCCTAATACAAGACCAATTTGTTTGGCAAAATGTTCTCCCGCTCATAATTTGTCAACCAAATTTTTTGGAACCTTTGAAAAAGAGTTGCAGCCAGAAGTGAGGCCCCCCCCCCCTCTGCCTTCTACTGGCATAGAGAAATAATTAAAAATTGATTATCAGTGAGCAAAAAACTGGTGGTAAATTTTGACGTTGCCTTAAAAATGTTTGTGTTATTTTGATGATTAACTAGATGTTGTTCCTTTCTGCTGCACAGGTGTGCTTCCTCCCACCGTCTGCTGAAGTTCCTGTTGGGACATGGGAGAGACAACCCCCACTTGAACTTCATCACCTGCTGTGTGGGCAGTGGGGAGTCCTCACACGAACACTACACAGGTACACACACCTGTTATAAATTATGATACAAATCATTATTATATAAATTATGATATAGCATAAATTATGATTATATAAATTATGATGCAACATAAACAAAAATTATATAAGTTATGAGACAACATAAATTATGATGCAACATAAATTATGATTACATAAATTATGATACAGCATAAATTATGATCGTGTATCAGACACATCATGCTCATTTTTTCCACAATCATGAAGAAAAAGAAGAATTTTATCAGGATCAAGGTTACGCTCAAAAACCGTGCAAGATTACAGAAGTTTGTGCGTTTTGCTGACCAAACACCTTCAAACCCCTCAAAGTATCGCAAAAATGAAACCAGACCGCTATTATTTCAGAAGTATTTCATTAAAAAAAGACCTTTCAGAAAACGTCGCGCAAACCGTTCAATGTTGCTTCAAAATCCGGACCCGAGGAAAAATTAAATTAATTGTCGAGTTAATATTTTCTGTATTTTCTCGTGTATCAGATGTGTACGAGACCCTGGCTACCTACCCGGACAGTTTCATGGACAATGTCATTCACACCTGTGGCTGTATGCGAGTGGGTGGGGGACTGCAGCAGGGCCATGGGCAGGGGGGTGTAGGGAACAGTAATATCAATCAGCAGGAGCAGAATAGACCTTTAAAGAGGAGACCCCAGAGCAGTCGCAGTTCCCTGAGGGGTTCCAGGCTGCACCAGAACAACGCTTACTACTCCTCCCCCGCAGGTAAAACTAATCGGTCACCTTGCATTAAAAATACATGTCATTACATAATTTTCGGGTTTTCGTTCCGGTTGAGCTCTGATTAAAGATGTGTATAATAGGTAAATCCCATGAAATTTGATAGCAAAACTACGGAAAAAAAATGCTAAACTAACTATTGCTATCCTAGGCTGCTGAAATTAGTGACTAGCATCCAGTCTCCAGTCCAGCTGTCGATTTAAGGCGGCGCCCCTTCCTCAGGAATTCGACCCCCTGACCGCCCAAAGGGTGGTCCCCTTTGGTAGCATTTTAGGACATCTATTTTTTGCCGAACTACCCTTAACTTTTTTTGCAGGCGCTTTTGCCGCCAATACATCTTTCTTGGCTCATTATCTCATCAATTTGCCGGTGGGTTCATAGAGATATTTGAGAGCTCAGAAATTCAATTTGGTCAACCTAAAAAGAACGTCGAACAAATTTCAGACATTTAATTTTCGAATGCGATACAACCTTTTTAATGCAAGCAAGCAGAAAATAAGGCTGCTCATATATCAGGGCAAAAACCTGAATATCCCACTTAACTGGTCTTGAATATTTTTTTAAAAAACTTTTGATGAACTATATTCTTTTGACTGACGATATTGATTATATAAGGACAAAAATTGGAGTCGCTTTAAAGTTTGACTAAAATTTTAGCCCTTTATATTCAATTTAGTTCATCAAAACTTTTTTTAACAAAAATTATTCGAGACCAGTAATGGGGGCAGTCGGATCTTTCAGGGTTTTTTCCTGATATGAGCAATCTCGTTGAAATTTTTCTGTTGCTTGAATTAAAATGAGCGCCTCGCATTCGAAAATTGAATGTTTGAATTTTGTCCGATTTTCATTTCAGGTCGAAAAAGTTGATTTTTGAGCTCTTAAACATCTCTATATCATTAAGTATTATTCGATATCGTTCGCAATTATCAGGCTAGTGACAAGCACGCTCGCTGGGGAACCCACAAGCCCGGGATTGATCCACACAATCCCCAAACTTTTCTGCTAATTTGATCTGAATATCCACCAAAAAATCTGAAAAAAAAATCACCAAAAGTCTATTAAAAGAGCTGAGAAACACTGTGATTGATTTTTTTTATTAGTTTTTTGATTAATTTTTTTTTAATTTGAGAGTATTTTTTTCTGTTTTAATCTTGAACATTCAAACACGTATACTTAATGAAAAACTAAAGTATTGGTGCCCATTCTATCATTTTTGCAAGGAAATATCAAATTTGCAAATATACAACTCAACATTTTATACATTCAGCCTTTTAAACAAGTCAATTAAATTACTATTGAACATGATCAATTTATAAGAAAACTGCGCCGCAGTTTTCTCCTTGGAAACAACTCGATTATCTGAAATATGTGAAGTAATCCAATATTACCAACCGTACTTTAAATTTTTTATTACTTCATATGTTATAAGCAAAAGTAAACAAGACAGTAAGAGCGCAGAATTTTGCTGAAGAAAATGATAGGTTAAAATTAGTTTGGACGATAGGAATTAGGAAGTTATTTTCTTTTAAATTTGGACGTAAATTTTAGACGGAAAGCAAAAGGCTAACAAAATTTATTGCCTAAAACATAACTTCACAAACACAAGAAAAGTATATAATCCCATTGCCTGTCAAATTTTTTATCATAATTGATTTATAAAACGTTATCCAATTATTATAAACTTTTTTTGAAATGCATAAATTATACGATTGCCTCTTTTCAAACTTTGACTTGCGTTTTAGCATGCTGGAATGAAAATTAATTGTAGTCAGTAGAAAATTTTCAGACACGAACAATACAATGACGTCTAATTTCCCATAATTGTAGTTTAAGATGAATTTTTCTGGTCGCGTGTAATTTGCTTGTCGTTTAATTTCCTAAGTCCCTCTAAACTCAATCTTTTGGTCGCGTCTACTTTGCTTTTCGTCTAAATTCCTTAGCGCCGCCCACAAGATTAATAAAAGAAGCAAACAATGATTCAGCAATTTAAAGAATTGGAAAAATTTTAAATATCTTATTCAATATCAGCTTGAATTTGAAAAAAAACTAATGCTTCGACCTTAGAAAATCATACAAGGATAACTTCATAATTAGAAACCATGAACTGGCATCCCTAGTCGATCAAGGGAGGTTATCTTGCAAGATCTTGCAAGAATCTTGCAAGATTCTTTTAAAGAGGATGCATCTCTTTAAAAGATCTTGCAAGATTCTTGCAAGATCTTGCAAGATAACCTCCTTTAAAGATAACCTTTTTTTTGCAAGATCTTTAAAGATACAATTTTTTTGGGCAAAAACAGCTTTACACGCGAAGACAACCAAGTAGCGTTCGTGGAAGAAGGAAGCAATCTTAGCTACGCATACATACACACAGCCCGCTAGGCGGTTGCCCCCAGAAAGCTTCTTTTTTAAAAACTTTTTTTGTGATAGGCGGCTTATACCTTAATCTCTCAAAATAGGAAAAACGCATTTGAGAAGAAGTCGTTTGTGATGAAAGCTTCACTTTCCTAGAACATAGCCAATCGAAGATTGCAAGGGAGTAATGAACGCAAGTAAACATTAAAAAATAACACTGACGTTGTTGAAAAATCTCAACTTTCAAAACTCAAAGAAAAAAATAGAAGCCCTTTAAGCTCTTTAAATTTCTAGAACAATTTATGATGGGCGCTTTTTTGATAACATGAACCCGACTTGAGAAAACTGGATCAATAAGTAAAGTTTTTATTCTCTGGAAATCTAAAAAGTAAATTCCACTTTCAAAACTAGAAATCGATAGTCGAAAAAACTAAATATCCCCGGTTTGAACTAATTAAAGCAATTCGTCACAAAAATTTTTTGGCCAATAATCCTTCAATTTTCGCAAACCAGTAGCCGCAATGAAGGCGAATAAATTAAAAAGATTTGATTGGTTGATACTTTTAATCTCATTGAATAAATTAACAACAAATATGCGACTACTTTTTAACGCATGATTTTCGTCTAATTTTATTCGTTAAGCATTTATTTAAAGTTTTGGATTCTCGTTCTAGAAACAATTTTTTTGATCTTACACCTAATTTCTGTTATTTTTTTTTGTGTTTTTCGACAGACATTTTGGGATGGTTATCTTGCAAGATTCTTTCAAGATTCTTGCAAGATAACCTCCATCTTGCAAGATCTTGCAAGATAACCTCCATCTTGCAAGATCTTGCAAGATAACCCTCTTTTGCAAGAATCTTGCAAGATCTTGCAAGATAACCTCCCTTGATCGACTAGGGATCTCACATAGTTGAAAAACTTCGCGGTAGCAATATTATTCAGTCGTATGCTCTAGCTTACATAGTCTTTACAGTTTTACAATTCTACGCTTTTTTCCTAAGATAACCATCATGAAACGATTTCTCGTAGCCTCTAGGAGACTTTTAATTCGGAGAATCTTTTTTGTTTAGAGCTGTTTGGGGTGCAGGGAGTGCCGATGATGTTCATAATAACTGGGAGTGGACTGATTGCATGGCAGGCCAGATTCGCCGCCTACTCCCAGTCACACTTGGACGAGTTCCTCAAAGAGGCCATGATTGAGCTGGACAAAAACGAGGCGTCTCTCACCGTCGGCCGAGTACCCAACACGACACTCTACTCGTCCGCCGAGAACCACAAGCACAGTATCCTCAACCTCAGCAATGCCCCCCACCACATACCATCACCCTACTACCCTAGCAAGAGAGGTAACATCATTAAATAATAGGGACAAGTTTATTATCAACCCCCCACCTCCCCCCCCCCTCCCCCAACGTGAAAAAGGCGGAAGATAATAACTTGATTCTTAGTTAGGAGTTTTTGATTCTTAGTTAGGAGTTTTCAGGTTGAATTTTCATTGAGTATTTTACTATAGGAGCTCGTAGAATTTTCGATCAAAATTAAATTGTGGGTTGAAGGTTCTTTACTTGGTTTATGTACGCGGACAGGAAATGATTTTGATCTAAGATTTCAAGCAGAGGCACAGCTGCCCTTCAGATAAGACGAAATATTGTTTATCTACAGAAAAAAAAGATCAAGGCTATAACTGTCGTAGACTTTGAATATATCCTTAAGAAAACAGCTTACTTGTTATACTAATGATGGCCGGTTGCTGTGCGACAACGAAATGTTCCGACAACGAAAATTTTACATGTAAAATTTCAAAAGAGGAACGCATTTTTTTAAACCAATTTTTTCAAAATCTTTCAGAGTTTTTTTTCGCTATAAAGTGAAAGGCGATTGAATTAGGGGACCAGGTTAACATCCTCCCCCCTCTCCCTCCCACCAAAGACGTTTGGGACGTTAACTTGGGATCAAAAATTCGGATCATGTTAACTTGATCCGAATTAGTTAGAAGCGGCAAAAGGTAGAATTAATAAGAGAAAAGTTAACGTAGAGTTTCCAATATTAAAAAATAGGTTTAATTTATTCTAATTAAGTGTCAACAGTTATCGTGGAATTTGGCCTGAAAAGAGGAAAAATGTAGACCAGCTTTTCGCGATAGTGAGACAACTTCTTTGAAAATATTTGGAATCCGAGACAAAGGGCGTTGATATGATTGTCAACTTGACTTTCTACGAGCTGTAAACTTGAACCTCTAAACTTGACCCTCTTCAAATCGAAAAATATTACTTAGCGATTAGGACTTAATTCAGTGAGCCCTAATGAAATGTGACTTAATGAATTGTGACTTTGGCAGATACGAATATTTCCAAGAAAACAACTTGAGTTGACTTTTCATTTTGATCAGAGGCAAAAAATTAAACAAAAAATTGAAAAATGTTTTCGCGTCGGTTTAATACCACCCTCTATTATTGTACAAGCATCCTCGTTTAAACTTCGTCGCAATGGAAACGGGACAATAAGTGTGCGAAGCGGCAGCTGTAGTAAAAGTTACAACATGGGAAGTGCACTCAGCAGAAAACTCACGAAGCCTAACACTCGGCGAAGTCTGTCTAACGTGTCCTACAGGAGATCAGCCTATCACAATCTATGAGTAGGGCTAAAAAGTTGATTTTGAGAGTACCCAACTCATAGTTTTTCTCTGTTGTTTCTGTTAGAAGAAAAGATTTATATAATGAATTGAGTGCTGGTTTTGCGTGTGTACACGAACCTCGAGTTTTTGTGGTTTTGCGTGTGTACTCGATCCTTTATAAAAAATGGGTTTTGAAGAATATAAACCCCTTTTGTAGTAGGAATAAATACTATCAAATTCATTTGTGAGTTTTTCATGTGGTTTTGTGTGCCTCTGCGTGATTTGAAACAAGATTAGATGATTTGAAACAGGTAACTGAGCATCAACTACAGAAAAATTTCAAAAACATGGAATCTCTATCTTAAGGACAACATTGAGTTATGACCGAAGTGTATAACTCATAGAGTAATTTCGGATAGGGTACACCGTCTGCTCGTCACGCTATCTTATTTTCGGCCGGATAGATTCGTGCAACTTCTTAGTCTAATACCGATCCTAATCTTACTCTTATACTATCTAGTCTCAGGTTGTTTAACTAGTCTCTGCTAGGCTCAATAGATCTAGGGTATACTGGTTTATTGCGGCTGCTGAAGTACTCGGGAGAGTTCAACTAATTTCTAAGTTAAATTCAAATCTCTCTGGTGCTGAAATTACAAGTAATTTCAGCACTTACAAATAAGTGGATTGTTAGTTAGGTGGATCATGATTGGTTAATATTAAATACTTTACATTGGTAAAATATCTAATTTATCCAATCATAAAATGTAGTTTAGATCAGGTTCCACCCATCCGGGTTTTACAGAGTTTTTTAGAATAGTTTTTCTGCAATTCGAAAGATGGATGATGGACGTTGGTATTTGGCGAACATCTTATTTCTTCTGGGTTTTCTTATTAGAGAAGTCCCAGATTCAATCATTGTGTCTTCTCAAGACAACGACTGGGTTTTCGCAACAAACTCAAATCTGATTTCAGAATGGTTGGCTATGTCAGGTTTTTCTGTTTCATTGGTGAGAACTTCTTTGTGTTTGACCTTGTCTGGGAATGGCGTGGAGATTGTGCGTGGAGGGGATGCCTGGTTACTCGGATCTGTACGTATACCTGAACATCGAGGTGGTCATTGGTCTAGTTCAATGAAGTCCTTTTCTGCGAAGTCAAGTCGTACTCTAAATCCTTTGAGTTGTGATTGTGGGCGGCATATTGATTGTAGTTGGCCATTCTTTCTCGAGTGTAGTAGGGTCGTTTTGTCTTTGGATGTTCGTCCTTGGTGTTGTATTCTGATCTATGTATTGCATAGTGTAATTTACATTTTATAAAACTTTTATTAGTTTAATATTTTTTAATTATGATTTTAGTTAGTTGTTTTCACAAAAGCTTTTTGTTTTAGTTCAGTTATTTTGAAGAGTTACTCACCCTTGAGTAGCTCTTATTAAAAATAGGAGTGTGGTCACAAAGCGTGGATGTAGCACGGTGGGTTAGGCCGGCTATAGAGCATGCTCAGGACGTCCTTCCTGGTGGGTTAGGCCAGGAGTGGGAGTATGATTTCATGCGGTTTTTGTGAGAGGTCCTGTTATGTGACAACGTTTTATGTTGGGTTTGTTGTGGTTTTTCTTATGTTTTGTTGGTTGTGTCCTTTTTTCAAAAATCAAATTGTTTGTGGTATGGGTTTGTCTTTCGACTTTTTTGTTTTTTATTATTTCTTTCTTAGACTTTATAATAGTCTTCAAAAGAATAAATTATCCAGTTTTAAACTGGGTTAATCCGGTTTGGGTACCGTTGGTTTCCTTTTCTTAGTCATGCTGTTATGCTTTGTGTTGTGGTGTTTAGTAAGCTGCATTGGTTAGTTTTGTTTAGTATATAATTCCTTTCCAACCGGGTTAAAGGAAAGTTTGAAACGTGTTATCTTGTGTTAGAGTTATCGAGTGTGAAAGCTTGAAACTGAAATTCATTGTTTTAAACAATTCTTCGTGGGCGAGCTGTGCGAGTGTGGATAGAATTCTTATGCGAGTGAATGAAAATATCAAAAGGTTAGTACTGCTTTTGCTTCTTATGAATTTACTACATAGAATTTTAATTTTACTGCTAGTTGTTGGGGGAAATTAAGTTACAAATTTTTATCATTATTAGATTTACTGCTGGTGGGGGAAAAATTTATAAATTAATTTACTGCATTGGTATTATATTTATTTAATTGTTGGTGCAAAAAGTTAATAGGGTTTTAAACAGTTTTGAAGAAGTTTGCTATTTTTTATTTTTCTTTTGTGAATTTTTCAGATGATCGTTGGATGAAGGCTAAAATTCTAAAGAAAACATGGATAAAGAATGGTGAGTTTCTAATGTTTGAATTAATTAGTAATATGTATAATTCATACTTACCTGTTAGTCGTCGGGGAAGAAACCGTGGGGGAAAATGTCGTGGATGAGATCTGAAGTTGTTAGTAGTTTGGCTAATATGCGGATGATATTTTTAGTTTGAAGCAGTGGCCAAAGCAATTGAAGTGCCTTAATGGTGGTTAGTTCTTCAGTGCCAACTGCAAATTCATAAGGTGTGTTTTGGATTAGATTATATAATTTGTGGTTGAATTTAGTGTTATGGATGAATTCTAAAATGGGGATTTCTATAGGTTGTACAAACTCGTGTGGGATGAGGAAGGGTCGGGATTCTTCTGCGTTGAAGGTCTTGGTGATGGGACAAAAGATATACATTTGGGTTATGGGATCATAATTTCGAAGAATACCATGAAGGTTAGTATCTTTAATGCAATATGTGAAGTTAAGAAAGAATGGTGAGGTGTATTTGGAATTGATGAATTGAAAACGATGGTGTGGTTGTCTGGAGGGAGTGTGTAGGTCAAAGTGATTTTGGATGAAACGATAATAAGTATATGTGTGTGTTTGTTTAGTGCGCAACATAATATCGTGTGAGCAGTGCAAATCTCTTTCATGTGGTGCAAGGAAATGAAAGGTTAGTGAAAATATTTGGAAGCGTTCTTTAAAACTTTCGTAGGCTTGCGTGTCTGTTAGTGCTTCTGAGATAATGTGGTCAAACTTGCGATCGAAGATATTTAGTGTAAATACATATGGTGTTTTAATGAAAAATTTCTCGGTGATTTGTGGGTTAGCGAAGCGATCGTCGTCTAAGAATTGATCTTGGTTAGTTCTGATGATGTTATGATCGTAATATTCTAGTGTATATTCATTAGCTCGGGGTGCAGTGTGTGTTTTTAGTGATTTTTTGTATCCAATGTTAGTAAATTGTCTAGGTGTTAGTGGTGTAGTGAGTCGATATAGCATGTGCTTATTTCGTTCTATATCGATATGAGTGTTAGATAAAGGTAAGCAAAGGGGATTTGTAAAATGATAATATGAGGTCCAAGGAAGGGTAGGCATTAAAACGTATTCGTCTACAAAGTTACGTGTCTCGTTAGTGTCATGAGGGGTGTTTAAGGTGTATTGTGGAAATGAGGGTAAGGTGATAGCTAAAAATTTTTTTGTGTTAGTGTGTTGTGGATGGTTGATGTATTCACGGGCTGTTCCTGGTTTCGCTGGGAAAGGATGGTTGGGGAACTTCCTTTTAAAAGTGCGGTAAGCTCTATTAGTGCTGAGTGAAGATACAGTAGTTGTGGATGATGGTGCTAATGAATCAGTATAAATTGAAGAGGGTGTAGGGGTAGGAGGGTTGGATGAATCTATTGTGGATGAGATTTGGTTTATGGTTGGGGTGTCAAGGTGATAGGATTGTTGTTGTAAGGTAATGAAATTATCTAGTTCTGGGGAGATTCGGGGGGTGTCTGAAGAATGAGATGATTGGTTTGAGTGAAGTGAGGAGTAGGTTGGAGTGACTTGGGAAGCATAAGAGGGTGTAGAATTGGTTGGGTCAGGGTTATTTGGTAGTATGGGTTGAAAAGGGGGTTGGGAAAAATTTAAGGGATTGGTGTGAAATTTATTTGATGGAGATGGTTCGGAGTCGGCAAATTCATCGGGGGTTTCAATATTCGGGTTATTGAGTTGTGAGATGGAGTATAAAACTGAGATGTGTGAGTTAGTATCGGAATTCATGCCGGATGTTACATTACTGGATGGGAAATCGGGTGGCGGAAAAGCAAAAAGTGGTATTATTGGGATTAGAGTGGTGAGGTTGGTTGGGTGGGAATTTGATCGGTGTAGGGATCCAAGTTGTCGGCTCATCGTGGGCTAAAAAAATTATTATTTTGAGACTGAAAAGCGGTGGTATGGGGTTGTTCTATAATTTGTTCATAAGTATTTTCATCTTGTGAGTGGTGTGGCATTATATGTTGGATGGGACTTTGTGATATGGTTGGTCTAAAATTATTATGTGTTATGGCTAAATTTCGAAAATTACGTGGGACTAGGGATAATGGATGGTTATGTGGTAGGGGTGGTAACTGTGGTGCTGTTGGTGTTGTGTCTGCATTGTTATGTTCTTCGTCGTATGTGTTCTGTCTTGTTGCTATTTTTGTGTTATATTCTTTTATTTGTGCGTCTAAAAGAATTTTGTTTATAGATGTAAAAAATATTCCAAAAAATCCTGCAAATAGTATGCGTGCTACACTTGCTTGTCGATTGACTTGTGTGTGTATAGCACATGTGTTATAGATTCCTTTTAAGAGTGAAAAAAGAAATCCAATAAAGTTAAACATTGCGTATAAAATAGTTAGTTTTTCTAAGATGTAGTAGGGCCATCCTAGAAAATCAAGAATTTCATTCTTGAGTGTAACAAAGCTAAAAATATTGATAGGTGATATATCTTGGGGACGGTATTTTTCACCGTTTAGATATATATAATCTTTAATGTCTTTAAAATATCCGCTATAGTCTTGCGTATAGATGTCTGCAAATCCTGCGGTTTCGGCAAGTTTGCGTAAGTTTTGGTCAATTGATTGTCTTTGTTTTGTGTCCATTTGTGTTAATAATTCCTGGAATTGTTGTGTTCTAATGTGATGTTGAATATCTGATTTTGAGAATATTCCTATTGATTGTAAGTCTATATTTGGGTTTCGAGC